TATTTGTGTTCTGTTGTATTTTGTTATATTGCGATATATTTGCTTTTGTGGGCCATGGCTGCTTTGTTTGTGTTTGCTAAGAAACAAAGTTGTGCATGTGTGGATTATATGGCAGAAAACCCTGAGGGGGTGGACTGTAGGGTAAGGTAAAAGGTATCAGGCTTTTCTGCCCTGCCCTCCCACCATCAGGATAGATGAGGGAACTCTGTGATCCTGAATGCATGCCTGATGGTGGGCACCTGAAGTGGGTACACCTGCGCTAAGACTGTGCTTTTTTTTTTTTTTTTTTAAATTTTTTTTTTCCCAAAGATTTATTTATTTATTTATTTGAAGATTTATTTATTTATTTATACAAGCACTGGGTACAGTCAGAAGCGCGGGAGGGTGAGAGAATTCACCAGAGCCAGAGCGGGGAGCAGAGCAGGCAGAAGGACGAAAGTACACTGCTGAGGGGAGCAGCGGGCGGCAGAAGAGGTCTGCGCGCCATGTGGGATCCTCCTCCGGTGATCAGGAGCAGCCGGGGATCGAACTGGCACTGCAGAGGCTGCGGGCGGCTTCGCAACCCAGCGCTCAACCGCTGCGCCACCGGGGAGGCCCTAAGACTGTACTTTTTAAGGGCGGCATCAAGGGGATGCTAATAGAAGCCGAGAAGCCGAGAGAGAAGCTGAGAAGAAGCAGAAGCAGAGAACGCCAGAGAGCGCAGATAGAGTGAGGATTTGCTGGGGGCTGGGAGGACTGCCAGCCTCCCAGCCCTCCAGCCTGCCATATGCCTGGTGAACCCCAATAAAAGACCTGCAAAAATCCACTGAGGACTCTGACTCCTCCCTTACCCGTTATGCTGGATCAGAAAACCTGCACTGTGTCCATTCCTGCCTTTACACCATGCATTAAAAAAATTGTTATGTAAGTTATTTTTATTGATTTACAATTTTGTACATGTTTTAGGAGTATAGGTGCACACCTCTTCAGATGTATGTTACCACACTACACTTACTATCAAAGCACCAATAATACTTCACCATATTCCAGTGGGCCTCCTCCCCTCTTTGCTCCACTCCCACTCCTTCTGGTAGCTTCAATTCTGAAATCAGATTTAAAGGGCTTGTTTTGTTTTGGTTTTGTCTGTTTCTTTGCTTTGTTTCTTTATATAAAGAAACCATATTTTAGTGATCACTGCTGTAAATTTGGCTTGGCTAGGAAGTTTTATGTTTGGAGTTACATTTTGGAGTTTGATCCTTGTGACAGCGTTGGTGTCTGCATGAAGAAATTTGCATTGTCCTCTGGTGCAATCAACTCTTTATTGGAGTTGCTTTTCTAAATGTTCAGGGCAGTGCAAATGACACTATATTAATTTCTTATTGGTGCCGTAATAATACAAACACAGGTTTGTAAAGCAAAACGCATTTAGCCATTTTCTTATATCTCTGGCCATCAGAAATCTGAAATGGGTCTTACAAGGCTAAAAGAAAGTTTTGGCAGGCCCCTGCGCCTTTTGTAGATTTGGGAGTGAGTCATTCCTTGTCTTTTTCAGGATTCACTGGCATTCCTCATCTCACTCCAGTCTCTACTCCCATCATCACTGTTCCTTCTCTGCTTTCAAACTTTATAAGGTCTTATAAAGACCATTCTGATTTAATAGGGTCCATCTGGATAATCCAGTATTACCTTCCCATCTCAAGGCCCTTAACTTAATTATACCTGCATACTCTCTTTTGTCATGTTAGATAGTGTGTGAAGTATTATTGGTGCTTTGGTGGCAGGTGTAGTCCCGTAACATATGTCTGAAGAGGTGTGCTCCTATACTCCTAAAATGTGTACAGAGTTGTAAACCAATAAAAATAAATTAAGTAACAAATATTTTAAAGTTATCATGTCTATCTCCTAAAAATTCTGTCTACTCATTCAGGCCATCATCCCATTATCACCTCCTTACAGAAGCTTTCTAGGGAATTTAGTAAACAAATACATTTCTTTTTTATGTAGTTGTGCATTTTCTGACATTTTACTTAATTGTCACTTTCTGTCTTATTCTATCTACCAGAAAATGAGCTCCATTTGAGCAGAAATATGGTGAATCTTCTTCAATTCCTGTTCCCCATACCAAAATTTGTTTCCCCAAATTCTCAGCATTTGTTAGACTCTCAGAAGATGTTTATTGAATGAATCAGTCTGTATATAGTCTAAGGAAGTCTGCTTTACTTTCAAACTATACTAATATACTCCTGATCCTCCTATCAATAATACAAACATTTTTTACTAAACGTTGGTTAAGCATGCCATCAATGGATTTTTTTTTATTAAGTAATGGGTTTCTTTTTGGGACACAGGTAAGATCAATAAAACAAAATACCAGGTATAAAATGAAGCTTCAGGTAAAATAAATTATAAGACTTAGACAGAGCTTGCCAAAAAAAGAAGGATAATGTTACCTTGATCCAAGGTGTAACCATGTGCCAAAATGAATAACACTCATCCTGTGCCCTGCTCACCACAATTAATGCTGAGAAAGAATAGAGGACAGAGGGTCATTTTAATTGAGACATCAATTCTGGTAAGCAGAGTTTTCCTCAGGCTATTTCCAAAACATAGTTGTTAGTGCTTCAGGAAACTCAAGAAGGTTTTAGACAAAAAGGAAGACATTATCCATTAACATGGTGTTAAGAACAACACTAATTGAAGAACTCCATTTCTGTGAGCAGGTAACTTATAGCTATTCAACAGTTGTTTTTTTATGCTTCCAGGTAATTGATAAATCTGAGACAATGAAACAGGGTACTTACTGAGTACCTGATGCTGGTTAGTACTCTGTTCTCATGCTGAACTGTACTTAAGGAGAAGAGGGAGAGGAAGGGTTTGGAAAAGCTTCATAGAAGAGGAGTGCTATGTACCAAATCTTGCCCCTCCAAAGGTCTTATGTTGAAACCCGAATTCTTAATGTGACTGTATTTGGAAACAAGGCCTTTAAAATAAAGAGATAATTAAGGTTAATGAATCATAAGAGTTGGCTTTAATCCAACATGACTGGTGTCCTTATAAAAAGAGAGAGACAAAGAAAAAGCTATGTGAGTATATGGGGAGAAGTTGATCATCTTTAAGTCATGGAGAGAGGCCTCATTTTGAGATCTGGTAAAACCAGATCTGCAAAATCTTAATCTCCAGAACTACAAGAAAGTAAATTTCTATTATTTTAGCCACCCAGTCTGTGGTACTTTGTTATGGCAGTCCTGACTAACTGGTGCAAGGAAAAATTTGATCTACATCTTATAGGATGGGTAGAGCCATTTCTAGGAAATGTTTTTGGTGAGGATCACTACCAAAGAACCTGGGGTGGAAAAGTACTTAGTAAAAGTGGTGACATGACAGCTACAGAAAAAGTTGTAATGCAACTTAGCTTGTTGAATCGAAGAATAGATGAGAAAAGTGAGTGTGACTGGGTCTATGCTTAGGTGCCATTATGTCTGGGGTTTCGGAGGTGATTGTGGAGGGTCTTGAAATTCAGAGAGTGAAAGTTTATATATTTGATATAGTGGAAAATCTGGGGCTTACACTGGGGTTTTGTTAGGAGTTAACTTTAGAAAGGGAAGATATAATATGTGTCAGGTGTGGAAATGAAGAGCAAGGTGTGAATCCAAGAATTATCAAAACTATCCTAATAAGAAAATAGTTTAGTGATAACTTAGGTGTTAATTGGGAAGAGTGAGGAGTTAAAATTGAATAGTTAATGTGGATAAAGAGGTATCAGATAGTTTTTCATCCCTGGAGCTTCATGAAATTTGGATTGTGGTATAACAGTCTCTTACTCCTACTTGTATCAAAGTTTTTAGAACAGAAGACTTATTCTTCTTTCCAGAAATATTTATTGTTATTAAGCTTTCTCCTTTCACCAAATAACAGAGTTTACTGTTTGTGAAAATCCCAGGGATGAATGAGGTGACCTTCATGCCCTATAGAACTCTAGGATGTTCTTTCCTAAGATGCATAGTTCTGAGACAGGAGAACACCACCTCCATCACATCTATATACTGTTACTCAGATAGTTCATACTCTCTAAAATTGTGTTCATTTATTCTCATTGTATAGGCATTGTTCATGTTTATTTTGGAGATTTCGGATACTATAGAAACAAACAAAAATTTAATAAAGTCCTGATTAAGTATAGCTACTATTGTTATTTGGGGTATTAAATTGGATAAATGCTTTTCTTCCTCCTTTTCAGTTAATCCACATGATTATTCAGTATGCTAATATTACTGCTAATATGTAAGTATACATATATACATGTACTTACATCCACATACTTAGTTTTAGAGTACCTTATGATTTTTTCTGGGTATTCCTAGTATGACATAAGAAATTGTGATTTTTTTTAAAAAAATTATTTTTTACATCATTGTTCATTTTTAATTGTGATTTTTTTTTTTACAAAAAAATTCAATAGACATTATTTGCAATAGATGGACATAGGTTCATTTTTGGAAACTTGGAAACTTGGAAACTTCTGTGAAATTATGTTTGGTAAATGAGAACTGAAATATTAGTTTTAAAGTATGTATTTGAAATTGGATGAAAAATATTTTAGAGATTTAGCTGTATTCCTTGTGAAGAGATCATAGTCACCATATTATTTTACTCTTGACTTGAACTTATTTTTGCCTATTTCTTTTTTAATGTACAAAGCTTAATTTTAAAGGAGCCAGTCATTTAATATAGAACAAAGGGAATGAAGTGCTATCTTCTTGGAAATGAAATATTTAGCCTCTTGAAATAAATCAGAAAGGTTGGGCACTTGCCCTTCTTCGTTGCGTGGTATCTTATTTCAGATTGGTGGATGTCTGACTTCTGGGAAGGTAGAAGTTTTGCTTTGTTTTTGTTTCATCTCCGCATTGAATTGGTTTTCTCATTTATAATACTATAAACCTTCTTGAATAATCATGAGAAATGTGTATCATCTGATCACTATGGATGAATTATAAACAACTTTTATCTTTTTGATATTGCAGTTGACTCATGTTGACCAGGCAAGCTTCCAGGTTGATGCCTTTGGAACATCCTTTATTCTTGATGTCATGCTGAACCAGTAAGTCTGTTGAGCTGCACTCACTATGGTCAGATGCACATTAAATCCACTTTCCTATCCCTCTATAAGGTTTTGTTTTCTTCTTATAATTTGCCTCATCTTTTTTTTTTAATATCAGTTAATATTACATTTAAAGTTATGGTCTCTATTGACTGTACATTATCAAATCTGGTAAATAACAGGAAATGGCTATCTACTTGAAGATGAGTAGCTAGAATAGCTTTTAAAATGTACAATGGACTTAATTCTGATATTTTGCATAGAATATATGACCTAAGTTACCATAAACAACAATAAATTATGAAAATAATACTTTGGCTCTTGAAATGTCCTTCTTTAGAAAATCAGAAAAGAAAAAATTACCATGTTTGATCAATGATTCAGAGACTAAAGGAGGTGGTGCTTTAATTTGTGAGATTACTGGGATTATTATAAAATATAATTTTAGACATAGTCATTTGTCTACCTAGAATTTTAGGTATAAAAAATTAGCATTTTAGGCCTCCCTGGTGGCGCAGCGGTTGAGCGCTGGGTTGCAAAGCTGCCCGCAGCCTCTGCAGCGCCGGTTCGATCCCCGGCTGCACCCCGGCCACCGGAGGAGGGTCCCACATGGTGCGCAGACCTCTCCTGCTGCCCACTGCTCCCCTCAGCAGTGTATTTTCGTCAGTCTGCCTGTTCTGTTCCTGGCTCTGTCTCTGGTGAATTCTCTCACCTGCCCATGCTTCTGACTGTACCCAGTGCTTGTATAAATAAATAAATAAAAATCTTTAAAGAAAAGAAAATTTAAAAAAATTAGCATTTTAGATTTGAAAGTGACATAGCAACATTTGATAAATTGCTAGATTTACTCTCTTTGGGTAAGTGTAGTGTCTAGTTAGTCTAATAGGACATATACTCTAGTTTTCTAATAATGTGTTTGTATCCTGCTTCCTATCATGGACATAATAATAGACTAGGGCTCTCTGCCAGTTAGTGTTTTGGAACTGAGCAGTACTGGCCCACAGTTTTTCTATGAGCAGCTATGCAATAAGAAAGAAAGTTTGAGACCAGAAGGACAGATGGGTAAACTGAGAATGAGAACTAGTTCTAAGTTGTCTACATTGGAAACCAGCTAATGAAAACTCTGAGTTGATTTAAAGGCAGTTGATTTAAAAAGGAAGAACTTAGAGCTGTACTATTTAAATAAATAAATTTAAATTTTTAAATTTAATTCCGAGTGAAAATTTTGTGCATCCATTGCATTAGCTACTTTTCAAATGCTTGAAAACTTTGTGTGGTTAGTGGCTACCTTATTGGACAAGGTAGAATTTTTCCACCATTATAAAAAGTTCTTTTGGACATGGTGATTTAGATATTTCTTTTGGGAACTGACTGTCAAATTACTGAGTTAGGTCAGTCAGTCTTTAGGAGGAGAATTTACTTTTTTTCAGATTTCAGCCCATGTTCAATGGTTTAAATTAGGAATTTTGTTAGTGTCTTAATTTTTAAGGAATTAATTTACAAAGTATGTGATGTTTTTTCTTGTTAATGTTTAATTCATGTATTAGTATATTATTTATTATTTTTAAAACACTTGCCAACTCTGAGACGTGACCCATAAGTGAGCTTCCAGGGAGAAAGAAGGTCACCTCAGGGACATAGTTTAGCTTTTAAGGTTTTTTTTTTTTTTTTTAAAGATTTATTCATACAAGCACTGGATACAGTCAGAAGCGTGGGAGGGTGAGAGAATTCACCAGAGACAGAGCCAGGAACAGAACAGGCAGACCGACGAAATACACTGTTGAGGAGAGCAGCAGGTGCGGCAGGAGAAGTCTGTCACACCATGTAGGACCCTCGCTGGTGGCTGGGGGATTGAACCAGCTCTGCAGAGGCCGCGGGCAGCTTTGCAGTCCAGTGCTCAACTACTGCGCCACCAAGGGAGGCCCTAGTTTAGCTTTTAATTGAAGTCTCTCATAGGTGTTTTGTATATATTCCCTCCCTGCCCCCATTTTTGTATTTCACGCAAAGATTTAAATACTGAAAAGTGTTGTTTTAGATGGAAATTTACCTTTAAGATGATCCAAAAATGGAAGTTGGTTGATTTTTGATCATGTATATATTTAAAATGTAATATAAATTGTATTTCTACTAAACTTGCTAAAAATACAATTTATTTTTTAAAAAAATTGTGACTTAGAGCATATATAATTGAAAACAGATCACAATAGTTTTTAACCCAATTTCATAGGGTGTAAGATTATGTTAATATGATCTCTATCCTATATTCCTACTTGATGTCAATACCCTATTGACTTATTTCGGTTTTTCAGTAACTTACATGTTATAAAGTTTTAAGAAAATTCATTATAAAGGAATCAATGCTCCTTAGACAAATAATGGGGAAAAAAATCACATACTTTAACCACTGGGAGACTGATTGCCCTATTTGAAGTTGTAACCCACTCTGCCTTCACTCCCCCATCCACCCTATTCTCCTAACCTGCTTCATTTTGAAAATAGTATTCATAACCATTTAATATGTGGGTTGACTCATAGGAAATTGCTGTTTTTACAGGTCAAAAAGTTTGACTGCCAGCATTGTTATATGATCAACCAATACTCTATAGTTTAATTATTTAGTCTATTGTCTTTTTTTCTCCTATTGCAATGTAAGCTCCTGGGGGGCAGAAATTTTCTTGACTGCTGAATCCTCAGCACATAATAAATTCCAGGTTGGAAAATCATATTGATTTCAAAACCAAAGGAATTAATCAGGAGACTGAGATGACTGGAGAGGGTGGTGGCTGTCATGGGGTAAGAGTGAAGCTGTAAAAAGGAAAAAGAGGATAAATGTTAAGGATTGGCTTCTAAAAACTAAGCATTATTTATCTAGATATGAATTGGAAAGTCAGGTTCCTAGGTTTCTCTTTCAATAACTCTTTGACATCCCACTTCTAAATCATCATTCCTGTGGATAGATAGCTCCTGCCCTGTTTTCTGGTTTCTAACATTTGTAATACCATTAGGATGCAGGGGGAAAAATTCCCCTTTCCTTGTGGGATCTTCTCAGACACATCTAACAAATTAACATCAGACACACTAGTAGGAGAAAAAGAACAAATTTATTTGCACATGAATGAGAATGCACATAGTTGTAAATTCTATAGTAATGAGATAGACAAAAGGGTGATTTTGTTCTTGAGTTAATGAATGGCATAGGGACATGGAGCATCAAGGACGGAGGAGGGTGTAGATTCTCTAGATGTTTGACTTTCCATAAGGTAGGTTTCTTCAATAGACAGTTTATTTTTGGAGATGATCCTAAATCTGGGTAATCTTTTTTTTAGGTAATGCCAGTAGTTTCCTTTGAAGTCTGCAGGGCCTCAGTTGACATTAGCTCCACATACCAAGGTGGCACACATTGAAAAAATTTTGCTCTGGACATCTTGGGAAAAAAACTTTTTGAATTTTGAAGGAGACCTGTCCTTCAACACCAAACCTTTCAGCATTCAAAGAAGAGATAATTACTCATGTCCGTTCTACAAAGCCAACTCACTTAACAGCCCCAAAACTTTCTCTTCTGAAGGGAGAAAAACATATGGCCATACTTATCAAAGCATAAAACTTGACTACTAAGGATGAAGCAAAATATCTTTTAAGATATTGGCAAGTTGTTTGTTGATTTTTATTTTTTCTTTCTTATGGTTATTCTTTTTCCTGGTCCCTTATTTAGGTTTTCTAGATTCCTGCTATGAGTGAGACCATCTGGTATTTTTCTTTTTCTTTCTGGCTTATTTCGCTGAGCATGATCCCTTCCAGCTCCATCCATGTTGCTGCAAATTGCATGTGTTTATCTTTTTGAATGCTGAGTAATATTCCATGGTGTATATGTACCACATCTTGATCCAGTCATCTATGAACCAGAGACACACTATGTGGGGTGGGGGGTGGGGAAAGGAGGGATTGGGGTCAAAATAAGGGAGTTGCAATTATATGGGGAATATAAAAATAAATTAAAAAAATAAAATATTGGTAAGAACCTCCATTCATTTCCATTGCAATTAGAGAAAAATGCTCAATGGAAATTTCCTGCATTGAGAAATACACAAAGTGTCCCCTTACCTTTTTTTGTTTGTTTGTTGTTTGTTTATTAGCCTGGGAATTTAAACAGGTGGAAAGTAGCTATTTTCTATATGCGCAAGAGCCTGAATGATTTGCTAAAAAAAATTCTTTCTTATTTTTATGGAAAATGTTTTTATTTCATAGTTTCAGTTTTTACGTTATGGGTATGCTAGCTAAGGAGCAGGAAAGTAAATAAATGAATATGCTCTTTAAAAGCTTTTTCCCATGAAGCAAGTCTAAGACTGTGGAGCAGGTATTTTTTTTTGTTTTTTTAAACTGGAAGCTAGTTAAATGTCCGTGTGTGTAGCTTGATTCTGGTTGCAGAATGGATCCTGTAATACATGTTTTTAAGTTAGAATCAAGTAAAAGTATCATTATGTAACATTCCTTCTGAATGTTTAGTCAACAAGATTATCTATAACCAATTTATACTTGAGTTCAGTGTTTGGGTTGTAACTTCTTCAAGAGGATGATAAAGAAAATGCAATGATTAAAAACAAAAAGCATAGCCAGTTTCTATTTTGTCAAGATAATGAAGGATAGGAAGCAACTTTCAGTTCCTTCACAGAATCACACAGTTGTGAAATTTCACCCTTTAGGACAGACATATTTATAAAACCAAAAATATGGCCAGGCCTGCCATAGTCAGACTAGCCCAGAAACCATTTTGGACTTTTCCAGAGGTCAGTGGCTGGTATTATAATTAATTGTGAAACATTCTTCAGAAAGAAAAAGGTTTAGTAAAGACATTTAACTATTATTATCAGAACAATTCAGACCAAATCTGTTCCTATAAATCTTTCTCCTCTCTTCCAGCAGTGGATAATTAAATTCCCCAAGGCAAAACAAAAATATTGAAAAAAATTTCCTTTACCTACTCTTTGTTCTGTTTACAGCAG